GTGAGGCTATTGTGCTTGTGTTAAAGGAGACCAGCCACTCTGTGTTCAGATGTCCAGACAGCCGTGCTGACTGGAGGTGCCTCATCACACTCCACTGGGTCCCAGTCCCCAGTCTCAGTGGTGATGTGGTCCACGTCCCTGGGAAGCCGAGGTGGTAGTGTCTTAGGAATCCTAGAACTTGGAGCAAGTCCCCAATCCACCAGGCCTGGTTCTTCATCACACACCCAGACCAACTCCATGCATGTGGGCACCTGTGTGATTCTCTCCCAAGAGTTCTGGTCCTATGCTATGGTCCTACTGACCTGACTGTGGTCAGGTCACTTGTCAGGTGCTTTCTGGAACACATTGACTGGGCTTTCCTCTTGTTCTTGGCCTTTCCTAGCTGGAGATCAGTGACTCTGATATTGCCTGGGGAACCTACATTTTGCATTTCACTTTCAAAGACTGCTGAGAATTCTGCTTGTAGGCCCCAAATCTCTAGAGCACTATTTGCCCACTTCTGGAATTTTAAATAAGTGTGCCACCTACCAGCAAACATTTTCCCACAGGAAGCAGAGGAGCTGCTCTAAAATTAGGAGTCTAACTGCTGTAGCCCTGTTGCCTAGGGCCTGCGTACTTCCAAAACAGGAGTGCTTGCTATCTGTGCCTGAGGCTGAGGTCCGCTGTAGCCATATTGATGGGAAGCAGTGTCTAGAATTCATCAGGACTTCTACTTCTGCCTCAGGAGAATGGAGAGTTCATTCCAGCCAGGTCTGCCACAGCCTCAAGACAATCTCCTATTCAGGACTGCTGAGCAAGTCCACCAATCCCCCTGACCTCAAAGATGGGCTCTGCCACGTACAGCTTTTCAGAAAGCAGGACTTCTTAGATGGTGCATCTGAGAGCAAGACCAGTGAAGGCAGCCTTCCAGACGCTCCCTAGACAATCCCAGTACACAGCAATGTCATTTGGCCTGGGCAGTGTTCCTGTTGTTCTGGAATGGCTGATGAAAGGGCTCCTGCATGCCTGTCTGGACTGCAGTGGCTTTTGTTTGGAGGGCATCCTCTTGTACTTGCAGCGGTTGGGTTCCATGAGCCCCTGATCTGACAGAGGCATACTTCAGGCTCAATCTCTAGGCCAGCTGTGAGAAACAATTTTGAAAGTCTGAAGATAAGATTAACAGTTCCCATCATCTGTCTCACCAAGGCAAACTGCTCTTTGGCAGACAAGATATTTCCATCCCAGATGTCCAGCAGATCCTGAAGTTCACAAGGTACAGCTGGTAATCCATTCCCATTTTCCACTCTGGGCACCCAAATAGTCAAACCCAGGTAAGAAAGAAGAGTGTATCTGATTTCTGGCCGGAACTATTGCTCATCAAGAGAAGAAACTCCTCTCTTCTGTCTAGATTTTGCTTTACTATCATGCTAAAGAGCTCTACACCTTTGAGACAAATGCTTGAAATATTGTGGCGAGGATTCTAATACAGGAGACCTCATATACAACCTCTTAAGCTGGTTCTGTCCAAGAACAACCACCCTGGGGACAGGAGCTCCTAGCCATTGGGGCTACCTTTGAAGCATGGGGACAATAACCTATATACGAGGCCAGGCTCCCATTTGGATGAGCCCAATTACTGTCATTTAGAGCTACTGGGCTAAAAACAGAAATATAGTAATAGTCGTGATTTATTGAGCATTTCTCTCATGTAAGCACTGTGCTAAGCACTTCACACGTATTATCGCATTTAGTCACAACAACTCTGTGAGGTGGGTTATACTTTTATCCCCATTTATGTCAGGATAAGTTGCATGTCCAAGGTTAAACATCTAATAAGTTACAGAGTCTGGATCAAATCTGGTATATCTGACAGCAGAGTCCAAGCTCTCAGTTACAGTGCTACTTTTCCTCTCCAAGTTCAGGAAAAGCTAGAAGCGCAGTTGATGAACCCTCTTTGAAGGGATTTGACTTCTACATTCTCTACTTATTGCTCAGCTCAAATACTCAGCAATGGAATTGACACACAAGCCAAAATTCTAGAGGACATCAGAACCCGCACAGTCCTGATAGACTCTGCCAAAGAACACTGTAGCAGCCAGGAGCAATCTAATGAGGAGGAACATACTTACTCTATCATCCAGACATGATCCCCAAGAATATGGAACACAGAGGCATTGGCAGAATGACCTGCTAGGCCTCCCAGATATAGGGGAGTCCGAACTGCAGAGCTCCAGCATTACCCTGATATGCTGGTGAGCTGGGGTTGCCCTTGAAGTTCTAAGGAAGGCCTGCTAAGCCCCCTTAGGATGACCCTCTCTGTTTTTTTTGAGTTGTATGAGCTGTTTCAATGTTTTGGTTATTAACCCCTTGTTGGTCTCATCGTTTGCAGATATTTTCTCCCATTCCATAGGTTGTCTCTTCAGTTTGTTGATGGTTTCATTGGCTGTGCAAAAGCTTTTAAATTCGATTAGGTCCTATTTGTTTATTTTTGCTTTTATTTCTTTTGCCTTGGGAGACTGATCTAAGAAAATATTCCTATGATTTATGTCAAATAATTTTTTGCCTATGTTCTCTTATAGGAGTTTTATGGTGTCACGTCTTACATTTAGGTCTTTAAACCGTTTTGAGTTTATTTTTGTATGTGGTGTGAGCGAGTGTTCTAATTTCATTGATTTACATGTAGCTGTCCAGCTTTCCCAACACCGCTTGTTGAAGAGACTGTCTTTTCCCCATTGTATATTCTTGCCTCTCTTGTTGAAGGTTAATTGACCATAGGTGCATGGGTTTATTTCTGGGCTTTCTATCCTGTTCCATTGAGCTATGTGTCTATTTTTGTGTCAGTACCACACTGTTTTGATTACTGGAGCTTGATAGTATAGTCTGAAGTCTGGGAGGGTTATGCCACCAGCGTTGTTCTTTTTTCTCAGGGTTGCTTTGGCAATTCTGGGTCTTTTGTGGTTCCATGTAAATTTTAGGATGATTTGTTCTAGTTCTGTAAAAAAGGATGACCTCTTTCTGGTGATTTGGAGTCCAGCAACCTGCAGTACACCAGCCCTTAAGTCACATGCCTGTGCAATAAATGCAGGTCTAGACCAGAGTCACTGTCAATCCCCAAATGCCCTGGAATACCACTGTCATAGACTTGTTCCACTCTTACAACCATGTTGTTTGGTTGTGGTGTACTCCAATACCAAGTTAGAATATGTTATCCCTTTTATCAGCTTACAGCCTGCAATAGACTGGATGTTTGTGTCCTCCCCCTACCCCACCCCCCAAATTCATATGTTGAAATCCTAACCTTCAGTGTGATGGTATTAGGAGGTGATGGTATTACTGTTTGGTAGGTGATTAGGTCATGACGGCAGAGCCCTCATGAATGGGACTAGTGCCTTTATAAAAGAGACCCCCAAGAACTCTCTTCCTCCTTATGCCATGTGAGGTTATAGTGAGAAGACGGCTGGCTATGAACCAGGACGTGAGCCCTCACAAGATGCCAAATCTGCTGGCATCTTGATCTTGTACTTTCCAGGCTCCAGAACTGTAAGAAATAAATTTCTGTGGTTTATAAACCACCCAGTCTATGGAATTCTGTTATGGCAGCCTGAACTGACTCAGACACTGCCACTCTTAATGTTAAAGTAAATTTCCAGCGAAAAACTGTATGTATCCCTAGTATGTATCCTAGATTTGGATTATACTGTTCAGTTTGTCCTCTACCTATCATTTCAAGATCAGGAACCAGTTGGAATACAGCACCTGGGTCTCAAGAGAAGATTTCTGCTGCTAGGACCTTGTGGACAACACTATCAACTCACCTAACTTGTCTCTGAAGAATTTGCCTTTGACTATTCATTATACCCTTTCACCTAGCACACAGTTTCATAGCAGCTTATCCCCATTATTCTTTCCCATTAAACCCTCCTACCTTAACAGCTGGGAAGTACCTAAAGATACCATAGATTATTCAAGCAGATCTGGAAGGTGCCTCTGCAAGGTAATGAGCAATTTAAATGTTGACTAGAGACAGACATCAGAGGAGACCAACCAATGGGTGATACCACAGACACTCAGATATATAGGTAAATCTGCCTTTGACAAAAAGAACCTTGCTATAAGGAATTATTAAGGGTCATAAAGGCCATTGTTGCATTACTACCCTGGCATTCACTTATTGTTCTGTTCCTGCCTCTGGTTATGCCTGAACCGGCATGGCCCTACCTCCTCCTTCATTGCTCTTGCCAACATTTGCCAACCTGAAATCAGGAACCATCCACGTGGGGGTGAAAAGTGACCAGCAACCCTTGATGCCACCTTAACTCCGATAAACCAGTACACTGGGATGGGTATGGGCCAACCCTGAAAATACATCAGCCCCATATTTATAGTCATGCTTCCTCAGATTTTAAGCCACATGTACCAGATAAATGTTTTTGCCCTTTTATTTCTCTATTTAAAAAAAAAGAGTCTCTATAAAAATCATTCCTTTCAAATTCTTTAATTAGGTGTAAATTTTATATCCAGCCCAAGTACATCTCTTTTTCTTTCATTCACTCAGAAACACGGAAGTGTCACTTGCGTGGAGAGTTGGAGAGAAGCCTGCATCTCAAGATTACAACAGAGTGTGATAAGCATGATAGCGACGTGTAGAAAGGGCTGTGGGAGCAACAAAGACCTTGCCAAAGGGGCCAGAGGGCATACAGCGAAAAGGACATTTGAACTACGTCTTCAGAAGTCAAAATTTAGCCACATATATATACTCAAAATTCTTTCCAAAGTAGAATGCTGGCTAAAGCTCTTTCCCATAATTACTCTGATTAGATGATCCACCTAAGCATGTTATATGGCTTCTCTGTCATTACATGATTTCACTGTGTTCTCGTGTTGCTGCATTGTGACTTCATACATTCCAAGGGCATTCCACATGGCAACCAAAGGGCAGGAAGTGAGGACAGAGGGCCTTGCTCAGGGCTGTAGCTGTTATATGGCAGCCCTCTTTGCAGTCACATTATCCTCGTTTCCTCCTATAACATGGGAGAGTCTTTCTTTTTAGGGTTCAGCGGCTCAACAGGTTTGGAAGGATTTGGTAAAGGGATGCTTCCTTGAGTTCTACTGCTTGGAGAAGACAGGAAATTTAGCAAGTCAAATGGCAAAGGTAAAACCACTGTGGAAGGTTTCTCTGTGGACAAGGATTGCAGGGTGTGGAGGTACCGAAGCTGAACAGCAGCTGGAGTGCCTGATAGAATCTCGGCTGCCATCCTCAGGGACTCGGACGCAGCCTTCTCCCCTTCCGCAGCGATCATCTAGACAAGGGATGTGAAGAAAAGCAAAGTGATTTTTCTTCTTTGCTCCATGAGGGTTTTAATCCTACTTAGTGTGACTCAACAAACAAGAACTAGTATCTACTGTGTGACAGGTGAGCAGACTATCTTTTGTTCTTAAGGATCTTGATCTAGGCAGAGAGATTACACTGTTAATTGTAATTTAGGGTAGAATTTTTTAAGGGCCATGACAAGTATAGAGGGAGTGTTAGGGGAGTTACTATGTCTGGTGGGCCTTGGAAGAGTAGTAGGATTTTGCCATTTAGAGGAAAGGTTGGCCAGCATTCCAGGCAAAGACATGGAATCCTGAAAGAATGACTCCCAGCTCAGGTTAGCATTTCAGAAGAGAAAGCATGAAGCTCACCACCCAAACGTCACCTTAAAGTGGGCAAAGGGCACTGGACTCAGAGATCCAGAAGCAACTCTGCCCAGAGGACTGCCTTCCTCCTCCACCAAAGCTCCAAAGTTATCCACCCTCTTACGTAGTTAGGGGTTTTTCTTTACCTACGTTCTGTTCTTTAAGGGAAATCCACCTCCCCTCCAGTCCTCGTTTTCTCTTCCCAACACCCTTCCCGCCCACACCTCAATCCTCAGGAGCTGCCGGCAGCCACATCTTCTCCCTGGCACGCCTGAGTAGAGGCTACGAGTAGCATAGCCTTCTCTCCGCTCCGGCGTGGAGGGAATTGGGCCCTGATCATGGTTGTCCTTCCAGAGCTTGTGCAGAGCTAGGGATACAGGTCGGGGTGTCATTAACCTAGGGGTGACAGGTGGCTGAAAATTACCCAGGGGAAGATGCCAGCGCTAGAGAAGAGGGCTGGAGTGCGGGGAGCTGCCTTTAGGGAGAGAGGGCGAAGGCAAGATTCGAGGAGGAGGTCACTGTCACCAATAACTTCAGAGAGACGGAGTAACAGGAAAAGAGACCTTACGTTGGTCAGTTAGGAGGCTGTTAACACACTTGAGGAGAGCAATTTTAATAGAGTGGTGTGGGCACAAGCCAGATTCCCCCCAGCGGCTGGATGAATAGGTGAGGAGCGAAGGGGAAATGTTCTCCATGAGGAGGCCTTCTTTTGGATTCTCTGGTGATCCTCAAAGAGCAGCTGTGCAGGGGGACGGCCTGCTTGGGGCTGGCTCACCCGCACTTTGGCCTGTCTCTGTGCTTCGGCCTCCACCGCCAGCGAGTGCTGCAGCCCGGCTGGCAGCCTCACATCCTTACTGAAAGAGAAAGGGCATGGGTAGGTAGGTGTGCAGCACTGCTTTTAGCAGCCGGAGCTTTCACACAGACCTGCCACCTTCTCCGCTGTCATTTCATGATGCACAGCGAATTCTCATTTAGCAGCGTGTGTGGCCCCCGACCCCTGTGCAGACAGTGGGCAGGGAAGAGCAGCTTTAGGGCACTGCCTCAAATGTTGATTTTTCTTATCACGGATGCTATAGTAGAGTTATGGTTTTCTCTTTACAAGTGAAACAAATTTTGTGTTGATATACTACGAACATTTTCCCACTTGAAGTTTAATCTAAATCCCAGCTGTTAAATTTCAATAATGAAGAACAGCCTTGAAGAGCCGTACTATTAATAATGAGGGAAGTCATCTAAGTTTATAAAAGAGAACTGATTTTGAAAAGGGTAGAACTGACCAAATGAGAACAATACTTAATGTGTTGCATGAAAGATACAAAATTGTATTTTCCCCCTGATGGTAACTATAAAAAAATACATAGATAGAAAAATTGGCAGTTCCTCGGAAAGTTAAATATGGAGTTACCATATGATCCAGTAATTCCACCCCAGGTATATACCCAAGGGAAGTGAAAACATGTTCACACGAAAACTTGCACATGAATGTTCATTGCAGCATGATTCATAATGGTCCCAAAGTGGAAACAACCCAAATGTCCATCAACTGATGAGTAGATAAACAAAATGTGGTATAGCCAGCTGCACAATAGAATAGTGTTCGCCCATAGAAAGGAATGAAGTACTGATCCATGCTACACCATGGTTGGATGCTGAAAACATTAAGGTAAGTGAAGGAAGCCAGACTGAAAAGGCCACGGATTGTGTGATTGTAATATTTATATTAAATTCCTGGAATAGCCAAATCCAGACAGACAGAGAGTAGATTAGTGGTTGTCAGGGGCTAGGGGTTGAGGAGGCAATGAAGAATTCCTGCTTAGTGGATGCAGACTTTCTTTTGGAGATGATAAAAATATTCTGAAATTAGATGGTAGTGGTGGTTGCATCACTCTGTGAATATACTAAAAACCACTGAGTTGTAACTTAAAATGGTTTAAAATGGTGAGTTTTATGTTATGTGAATTTTATCTTTTATTTTTGAATTTTATCTTTTAAAAATGTTTAAATCCATAGAAATATGAAAGTAACTTGCCCAGATGTTACAGTGGTTATGTTATGGCTATGAGATAATAGGTAAATTTTTTTCTTTCTTCCAAATGTATGCTAATATGGCTACAGTACTCATTCAATGAAAACAATTTTTCAAATAGAAGTTTTTAAATAAAACCAAAATATCTCCCTTTATCATATTGTTCTTCCTGGTTAATTTCCTACCCACATTTCTGTTCTTTTTTAAAAACATTTTTTTAGGACCCTGAACTGGACAACCCACGTGTAACCTGCACGCCACCACACACTGCACTGCAGGCCAGACCGCAGAGAGGCTAACGAATCCCAAACCCAAACACAAGGATGATCAAGTTTCCTTTGGCAAGACAGAGATAAGGAAAAGCGAACACACACACGAGCAATGCAACATTTTCCTTCTAACATAATCACCTTCTCTCCCCACCCACCCTCCCTAACCCTATAAACTGTAACCTATAAACAGGATCCCAAATACATACAGCATCAATCATATTTATCAGTCATAATAAACATCAGTTCAACTAAATGCTACAGCTAGAATTATTTCCACTATTTATAAAGTTTTTTCTTTTTACTTATTTATTTGGTTTTTAGTTTAAAACCAGTTCTGTAACAATGCTAAACTATGCTGAGGTATTTTATGAAGGGGCCAGAAGCTAGCTGTTACCCACGAGCATTACCCTCCCAGGTTAAGGTATCACCATTCAAAGAGAAAAGGAAGAAAAGGAAGAGAGGAAAGGAGATCCAGATTACAGAATCAACATAAGATCTGCTAAGGTTTACTGCTTTGAGCAAAGGCTGAGAGTAGAAGAGCCCACACATGGAGGTGCTTCATGAATAAGGATGGTCAGAAGAAAGCAACTTCACAAATCATATGGAAATCTGGGTGTAAACCTGACAACTCTGAGAAAAGACATATTCCCTAAAAACATTTTTTTAGGACCCTGAACTGGACAACCCACGTGTAACCTGCACGCCACCACACACTGCACTGCAGGCCAGACCGCAGAGAGGCTAACGAATCCCAAACCCAAACACAAGGATGATCAAGTTTCCTTTGGCAAGACAGAGATAAGGAAAAGCGAACACACACACGAGCAATGCAACATTTTCCTTCTAACATAATCACCTTCTCTCCCCCCCCACCCTCCCTAACCCTATAAACTGTAACCTATAAACAGGATCCCAAATACATACAGCATCAATCATATTTATCAGTCATAATAAACATCAGTTCAACTAAATGCTACAGCTAGAATTATTTCCACTATTTATAAAGTTTTTTCTTTTTACTTATTTATTTGGTTTTTAGTTTAAAACCAGTTCTGTAACAATGCTAAACTATGCTGAGGTATTTTATGAAGGGGCCAGAAGCTAGCTGTTACCCACGAGCATTACCCTCCCAGGTTAAGGTATCACCATTCAAAGAGAAAAGGAAGAAAAGGAAGAGAGGAAAGGAGATCCAGATTACAGAATCAACATAAGATCTGCTAAGGTTTACTGCTTTGAGCAAAGGCTGAGAGTAGAAGAGCCCACACATGGAGGTGCTTCATGAATAAGGATGGTCAGAAGAAAGCAACTTCACAAATCATATGGAAATCTGGGTGTAAACCTGACAACTCTGAGAAAAGACATATTCCCTCCTACCCACATTTCTGTTCTCTCCACTTTGATTCCCCAAATACAGGTCACTGCATCCAAGGCAACCTGTGGAGGGAAGAGTTTAGATGTCAGTAAGAACCTCCAGGTGGGAGGACAGCAGCCCTCTGCACCGACGGCCATTGCACTGAGAAAGCACATTTCTTCTGAAAGGACATTATGCACTTCCCTGTTTTGTTTGAACATTATAGGGCCTTGCAAAAGTTTAATTTGCACAGTGCCACTCAACAAATATTTGTGGAATTAAAGATGGTGTGGTAGGCTGACTAATGGCTCCTAAAGACATCCATGCCCTAATCCCTGGAACCTGTGAGTGTTACCCCAAAAGAGACTTTGCAGATGCAATTAAGTTCCAGGCTGTTAAAATGGGGAGTTTATCCTGGATCTTGCTGGTGGGCCCTAAAAGCAACTGCAAGTGTCCTTATAAGAGGGAAGTGGAGGGACATCTGGCTACAGAAGAGGAGAAGGTGGTGTGATGATGGAAGCAGAGGTTGGAGTGCTGTGCTTTTAAGATGGAGGAAGGGACCATGATCTAAAGAATGCAGGTGGCCACCTGAAGCTGAAAAAGGCAAGGAAATGAATTCTCTCAAAACCTCCAGAAGGAACCAGTCCTGCTGACTGACACCTTGACTCTGGCCCAGTAAAACTTCTTTTGGACTTCAAAACTGTAAGGTTGGGACTTCCCTGGTGGTCCAGTGGTAGTGAATCCGCCTTCCAATGCAGGGACGCAGGTTCGATCCCTGGTCAGAGTACTAGGATCCCATGTGCCCCAGGGCAACTAAGCCCATGCGCCACAACCAAGAGCCTGCGCACCGCTACTAAGACCTGACGCAGCCAATAAATAAATAAATAAATAAATAAATATTTTTTTTAAAACTGTAAGGTTAAATTGGTGGCGGTTTAAGCCATCAGGTTTGTGGTGATTTGTTACAGAAGCAATAGGAAATAATAGAGATGGTATATTTGTTAAATTTGTTCTAAAGTGCATTTATTAGAGAACCAAAATCTTTAGTCTCTCTCTCATATGATATTCTCTTCCATATAATATTCATTTACAGGTGCTTTCACTTCCTGTTGGTGGCACGCATCTTCCCCACCTCCCCATCCCAGGAGTGGGAAGGAAATGAATTGTGTGTTCTGGAAAGGGGGGCAGGGCATGGAGCAATATGCGGGCCATATACTCTTTTTCCTTTTTAACTTATTTCTGATGATTTCTTGGTGGCTAGATAAATAGTTAGTGCATTGGGAACCCTGATAAGACTAATTTAGGGGGTTGATGGGAGGAAGGAATGTTGAAAAAGACTTCATAGAGGAGGTGACAACTTAAAGAACAATATGATTTTGC